GGTCAGTTGGCTGGAAAAGGGAGTAAACCAGCGGAGCGGAGAGCTTTGGGCTCTCTTGGCAAGCCTAGCCAGGAAAGTCCTCTCCCCAGCCCCGAGCAGAAGAGGGGTGGGGGGAACCCTTCGCTCCTCTCGGAGCTCCGGGCTCCATTCGCCGCCACTCACCGGCTCATGGTTTCTCCGGCCACTTCCGGGAGCTGGGGGACCCTTTTCGGAGTGCACCACTCGGTCCGGCGTCCCCGCGGAAACGCCGGTCGGTCTCCTACGTTCCGCTGCCCTGCACGTTTTTCCCCCTCTGAGCCGCGCTCCGTCCCTCTACCCTTTGCAAGGAGCGTCGCGGAGAGGGTCGCCTCTCTGCTGGGCCTGGGGACGCGCTCCTCCTCCTGCTCCTCCTCCTATTTTCTTGGAAGGGTTGCCTTGGGTAGGACTCTTTGCATAAGCAGCGGGGAGGAAGGGGAGGAAGGGGGGGGCAAAGAATTCAGGGTTTTTGCACCGCGATTGCGCTTTGCATCTTCTTCCTCGTTAGGGGCAATGCGTGGCTCGAGTTTAAAAGGGGGGGGGGGGGAGAAACCTTCCATGGAGCCTCCCTAGTAGTTCTAAGCCAGCATTCCTAGAGGCCCCAGGTTGGAGTTGGGTGAAATAAGACATATTGGGGCAATCAGAGGTATCTGGAGGCTTGCTTTTTCCAAGGCTTTGGGAGGTGCCTCCGACCTGCTTGCAAAGGCTAGTAGCGATCACCTTGGCCCTCCCTCATTCTCTTGCCTCTGCTGAGCTGAGCGTGGGATCTTTGCGGATCTGACCGTGGACGCTTCCCCCCTCCTTCTCGAGCAGGGCACAGCATGCTGACCACGAAGCTCTACACGTTGGTGCTGGTGATGCAGCCGCAGCGAATCCTGCTGGGCATGAAGAAGCGGGGCTTCGGGGCTGGCCTCTGGAACGGCTTTGGAGGGAAGGTGCAGCTGGGGGAAACGGTCCAGCGGGCCGCTGAAAGGTGAGCGGGACAGCCTCGTCCCTGCACGGCCGGTCTTCTCCCACGCGGCTGTTTTGAAGAGCCCTGGTGACTTGCTCTGCTTCTGGTGCGTGGGTCAAACCGAGCTGGGATGTCCGTGCTGCATTGAGGGTGTTTTTTTGTCGGCTGAACAGAGGAGCTCCCCTAGCTGCTCTGCTCTGTAGAATTAAAGGTTGGCGAAATGACTTCAGGGGATGCCCTGGGAGGCCACGAATGTGCGCTGATTCACCAGATTTCATCACCCGGGAGTCATTTCACCCCTGAACAGCAGACATGGACCTACGCTTTACGATTATTAAAAGACTGCTTGGGTGTACGGTCCGTTTCCATCTAAATTTAGGATTCACTTAAGTTGCAGCATTTGCTGCCTGAAGATGTGATTGGCGTGGCCACCCAGTTAGATGCTCTAGAAGGGGGATTCAGGAAGCAAAGCGCTATCCGTGGCAACTAGTCTGGATGGCTGAATCACAAGCAGGATGCCTTCGATGGCAGTTGCTGAAGGACCACACTCCAAAAAGGCAGTTGCCTCATTGTCAATGCTTGGGAGCTTTCGAAATGTACTGTTTTTATGACCCAGATTGCTGGATGAGCTGAGCTGTTGGGCCGGTCCAGCAAAGTTGTTTTTTTGGGTGTTATTTACTGTCTTCCTTCTGTTCTGTAGGACAGGTGCAGAAACGGGTGAACTACTCATCCATCATGAGTCTTTCAAACTATGCTGCTGAATCATTTTGGCCACATTACTCAGCTATCTCATCATCCTTTACAACCCAAAACGTTCAGTCCATTGCTGAAAAAGTGCCTTCCTTTTCAGAGGCTGCTGGCACATGTTTCTCAAGTCAGCCAAAACATGAAATCAAGGGGACGGTGTTGACCCACTGGAATCACGCCAGATAGGCTGGGGTCTTACTCCAGTTCCCCATGAACCTTCATAGGGAACAACTACCCAAAGTGTCCAACTGCACTCATTATTCATGTGAAAAGCAAGTCTAATTAACAACAGCAGCTACGCAGGCTTCCGCTTGGAAGACCAACAGATCATCTTCGTAATGACCGGCTGCTCTTGCTGTTACAGAGGAAACCGTTTAAAATGTAAGAATGCAGAACTAGTACCGCATTGATGGAAATGCCCTAGTGTGAAAGGAACCCGTGAACCTAAATCTACAGACAGAAAATTGGACAAAAACAAGCACATATCATAGCAGCTCAGAGCAGTGTTTCTCAACCTTGGCAACTTTAAGAGGTGTGGACTTCAATTCCCAGAATTCCCCAGCCCCCCCCGCTCGGCGTGGGGGTTTCGTGGAAGAAAAGCCCCTCCTCCTAAATTTACCAAGGGGAGAAAAAAAACCTCAGGAGGCTGTTGAT